TACCGTACCAAGGTTTATACCATTTGGATCTGCCTCGCCCAGCTTCACCGTACCAAGGTTAATGCCATATGGATCTGCCTGGCTCAACTTTACCGTACCAAGGTTTACACCATATGAATCTGCTTCGACCAACTTCACCATACCAAGGTTTATGCCATATGGATCTGCCTGGCCCAACTTTACCGTACCAAGGTTTACACCATATGGATCTGCTTCGCCCAACTTCAGCATACCAAGGTTTATGCCATATGGATCTGCCTACCTCAACCTTATTGTAACAAGGTTTATACTATATGGATCTGTCTCTCTTTGATTGGATTGTAAGAAAGAGCTTTCAAAATTGTGGAGTCGTGTCTTTAAACTGCCCAGTGGTAAGTAAAGAATAGAGACTGATTGGCGCCACGTGCGTTCCTTGGCCTTCTATTTACCGACTTATAACATTTTGATGCGTTAAAAATGCGTTCTTTTAGATGGACAGAGATTAATACCCTTTGAAAGCACATTGGCGATAAGGACGAGCTGGCGGCCCATGGAACGAGAAAACGCTAGAACGAACTGTGTAACCCTTTGGAAGTAAAGTTGGTTCGTCCGTGATTTAGTGAGGATGTTGTTGCTAATCTAAAATAGAAGGTGAAGAAGAATACAGAATAATAAAAGAATTACCTAAGACAGTAATATCTCATAAACACAAAAATCATTTAATATTCAGGTTTTGCAGAGTTTATGGATGACAAAAGAGCTGATAAAGAAAATAAAAGATAAAGAACGAAAATCCTCAGAAATTTAGAAACAAGATATGGATAAAACACTTTTATAAAAACCTTGCTAATTAAAAAGCTGACGGCAAGCGAGCAAGAGGCAAATACATTTTGTTTTTTAGTATCTAGAAACCATGAGTTGTTAACCCTTAGGCTCGGTATTATGGATATCGCAACCCTTCGACCTTGATATCATGATAAATGAAGTAAATCTGGGAGAAATGAAGCTTTTCTGCCTACCCCCGGGCGTGAACCCGGACCACAAGGAGTTCGTTATCCGGTCACCGCGCAGTCCGGTTTAGCCAGTTACGCTAGCGAGCCGGGCAGAGACAGATAAATAAATGGGATGAAAACATCAAGAGATGGAATAACTGCAGTCTGACAGGGTGATTACATAGACCATCAAAGTACAGTAGTCTGTTAGGGTGAATACCTAGGGCGTGGATGAACAGCAGTCTGACAGGGTGAATACTTTGAGCATGGATGAACAGCAGTCTGACAGGGTGAATACTTAGGGCATGGACGAACAGCAGTCTGACAGAGTGAATACCTGGGCAGGGACGAACAGCAGTCTGACAAGAGTGAATACTTAGGGCATAGACGAACAGCAGACAGACAGAGTGAATACTTTGGGCATGGACGAACGGGCAGTCTGATAGGGTGAATACCTAGGGCATGGACGAACAGCAGTCTGACAGGGTAAATACCTAGGACATGGACAAACAGCAGTCTGACAGGATGAATACTTAGGGCATGGACGAACAGCAGTCTGACAAGAGTGAATACTTAGGGCATGGACAAACAGCAGTCTGACAAGAGTGAATACCTGCGGCATGGACGAACAGCAGTCTGATAGGGTGAATACATAGGGCATGGACGAACAGCAGTCTGACAGGGTAAATACCTAGGACATAGACGAACAGCAGTCTGACAAGAGTGAATACCTAGGACATGGACAAACAGCAGTCTGACAGGATGAATACTTAGGGCATGGACGAACAGCAGTCTGACAGGATGAATACTTAGGGCATGGACAAACAGCATTCTGACAAGAGTGAATACTTAGGGCATGGACGAACAGCAGTCTGATAGGGTGAATACCTAGGGCATGGACGAACAGCAGTCTGACAGGGTAAATACCTAGTACATAGACGAACAGCAGTCTGACAAGAGTGAATACCTAGGACATGGACAAACAGCAGTCTGACAGGGTGAATACTTAGGGCATGGACGAACAGCAGTCTGACAAGAGTGAATACCTGCGGCATGGACGAACAGCAGTCTGACAAGAGTGAATACCTGCGGCATGGACGAACAGCAGTCTGAAAAGAGTGAATACCTAGGGCATGGACGAACAGCAGTCTGACAAGAGTGAATACTTAGGGCATGGACGAACAGCAGTCTGACAAGAGTGAATACTTAGGGCATGGACGAACAGCAGTCTGACAAGAGTGAATACTTAGGGCATGGACGAACAGCAGTCTGACAAGAGTGAAAGGGCATGGAAGAACAGCAGTCTGATAGGGTGAATACCTAGTGCATGGAAGAACAGCAGTCTGATAGGGTAAATACCTAGGGCAAAACACAGAGTGTTTGAGATCCATCGCAGCCAGTGTTCATTGTGACACTGCATCTGATTGTTTGACTGATTAATTGATTGATTGATTGATGCAGCTACAATGATTAACTGATCTGCATGACACCAAACCCTACGATGAAAAACAAAATTTAAAAAGTAAATAAATTTAAACTCCTTAAATTAAGAATATTCATATTTCATGTGGTAAGAGTTTTGTGTTCTACTGACTATTTTAACCAATAGAATAACTAAATTCATTGAAAACGAAAGACTGAAATGATATTTAATCAAAATGAATCAAATTTGGAGGTAGCAAGAACGCAGTCATGAATGTAGAAACACAAAGAGACAGAGGACAATCAAGAAGGAGTCGATAAGAGGCTTTAAATCCAGCTGTGACTCGTAAATGGAGGAACGTCGCTGTTGCTGCGGAGTTACGTGCGAACAGCGACACAGGCGGACAATTATTATCAGCTGTCCGTACTGGTGGCAGAGCACTAATGGTCTATAACCGTGTGCAATGACATTGGTTCACATCTCCAGACTTTACTTTTACCTTTACTGCTATCAACTCTTGCCAAATTCTAAAAATGCGTTTAATTTTCCAGTTTTGGTCTTTTAAAATATTGTCAAGTGCACTGATTTCCAACAGTGATATTTTTTTTTTTTTTTTGCAGTATGGTGTCAGTCACCGTTCTGATGATTTTTTATTCCGTTTCTTTTTCCTGTTTAAAATTTAGGCGTTTCATTAACAAATTTCTCTCGCTGGCTCCACATGTGAGAAATGAATCGACTGCCTTATCTAAGCAGAGAAATAAATCAATTGTTTCGCCTAGTCTAAGGAATAAATTGACTACTTTGTCAAATCTAAAGAACAAATTGACTGAAAGGCCAATTGTGAGGAACAAATCGACTGGATGGACAATTCTAAGGAACAAATCGACTGGATGAATGAATGTAAGGAACAAATCGACTGGACAGACGAAGGACTTAACGAACAACAGAATCGCGCACAATATTAAGTTATTGGGATTTGTAGGCAGTCTGTATTGTCAATAACTTCGTCTTTACAAATGGTGTTTTTGTCTCATAAAATAATGTTTATTGGATGCGGCAGGGACTAAAACCTCCCATGTTAACTTCAGATGTTATACAAAAAGAGCCTCTGTAACGAAGTGGTCAAGGGGTTTGAAACGTTTGTTTTTTTTGTTAACTGAATTCCTGGGGATCGTCACTATAGTTAAAAAAGCACGTGTTTTTGTGCGGTTCCATCAACAGGCAGTCCTACGTCTTAGACCAATGCATGTAGGGTAGCATTCAGTGCAATGCAATGGAGAGAAAGAAGAAGCCGAAGAAGAAAAAGAAGTAGTAGAGAAAAACAAAATGTTGATCGTAAAAAAAAAAGAAGAAGATGATAATGAAGAAGAAGGAGAAGAAGAAGAAAAAGAAGAAGAAGAAGAAGAAGAAGAAGAAGAAGAAGAAGAAGAAGAAGAAGAAGAAGAAGAAGAAGAAGAAGAAGAAGAAGAAGAAGAAGAAGAAGAAGAAGAAGAAGAAGAAAAAGAAGTAGAAGAAGAAGAAGAAGAGGAAGAAGAAGAAGAAGAAGAAGAAGAAGAAGAAGAAGAAGAAGAAGAAGAAGAAGAAGAAGAAGAAGAAGAAGAAGAAGAAGAAGAAGAAGAAGAAGAAGTAAAAGAAGGAGGAGGAGAAGAAGTAAAAGAAAGAGGAGGAGAAGAAGAAAAAAAAAGAAAAATGAAATAGAAGAAGAAGAGGAAAAAGAAGTGGAGAAGAAAGAGAAGAAGAAGAAGAAGAAGAAGAAGAAGAAGAAGAAGAAGAAGAAGAAGAAGAAGAAGAAGAAGAAGAAGAAGAAGAAGAAGAAGAAGAAGAAGAAGAAGAAGAAGAAGAAAAGGAAGAAGAAGAAGTAAAAGAAGGAGGAGGAGAAGAAGTAAAAGAAGGAGGAGGAGAAGAAAAAAAATAAGAAAAATGAAAAAGAAGAAGAAGAGGAAAAAGAAGTGGAGAAGAAGGAGAAGAAGAAGAAAAAGAAGAAGAAGAAAGAAAGAAAGAAAGAAAGAAAGAAAGAAAGAAAGAAAGAAAGAAAGAAAGAAAGAAAGAAAGAAAGAAAGAAAGAAAGAAAGAAAGAAAGAAAGAAAGAAAGAAAGAAAGAAAGAAAGAAAGAAAGAAAGAAAGAAAGAAAGAAAGAAAGAAAGAAAGAAAGAAAGAAAGAAAGAAAGAAAGAAAGAAAGAAAGAATACGTCCCACGCACTGATGAGACAGAAACCGTGTTGCAGCACTGACATACTGACTTGAACAATCTGTAACTGAGAAGAGAAAATACTTTTACTGATACCGTCATTTACTAATGAGACTACAACTACAGTGAATCCATTGATCGCTGTGCCCGCTAGGACTATTTAAGAATGGTTACCCTGGTCAGATTAAATGAACTGGGCAATCCCCTTGTAGTTTCTTGGTTGGATTGGAATTGCCGTGGTCAGTTCCTTAAACATTTTGCTGAATTTTCGACTATCCAAAAAACAATGATAATAGAGGCTATGTTGGACATGGTTGTACGTCAGTCTGTTGGGAGATACATTAGGTAAGTAAAGTCAAGGTTCCATTGCATCCCAAAGTTGCAGTGGTCATATGAGGCTAGACCCACATTTGCAAAGACTCCGATGGAGTTTTACCCAACGACAGTCTCTCTCGTTCCATCAAAAGACAGTCTCTCTCGTTCCGTCCAAAGACAGTCTCTCTCGTTCCACCAAACGACAGTCTCTCTCGTTTCACCCAACGACAGTCTCTTTCATTCCACCCAACAAGTCTCTCTCGTTCCATCCAAAGACAGTCTATCTCGTTCCACCCAACGACAGTCTCTCTCGTTTCCCTAACGACAGTCTCTCTCGTTCCATCCAAAGACAGTCTCTCTCGTTCCACCCAACGACAGTCTCTCTCGTTCCACCCAACGACAGTCTCTCTCGTTCCATCCAAAGACAGTCAGTCTCTCTCGTTCCATCCAAAGACAGTCTCTCTCGTTTCACCCAACGACAGCCTCTTTCGTTCCACCCAACAACAGTCTCTCTCTTTCCATCCAAAGACAGTCTCTCTCGTTCCACCCAACGACAGTCTCTCTCGTTTCCCTAACGACAGTCTCTCTGGTTCCACCCAACAACAGTCTCTCTCGTTCCACCCAACAACAGTCTCTCTCGTTCCACCCAACAACAGTCTCTCTCGTACCACCCAACAACAGTCTCTCTAGTTCCACCCGACTGCAATCTCTCTCGTTCCACCCAACAACAGTCTCTCTCTACCCACGCAACGACAGTCTCTTTCGTTCCAACCAACGACAGTATGTCCCGTCATATTCAATCTTTCGTCACACTCACAGTAAAGTGTATCTCTTCAACCTCAGTTTATTTTATTACACTCGAAGACAGCATCGCTCATCTCACGAAACGACTTTATCAATCGTCACCCACAGTTCGTCACACTCTACATCAGTATATCTCGTCACACTCAACAACAGCACCACTTTTCACACTCAACGACATCGTTTCTCATCATACTCTAAGACTTATCTCTCGTCGAACTCAACGATAGCATTCTCGTCACACTCGACGACTTTATCTATCGTCACACTCAACAACAGCACCTCTCACCATACTCAACAAAAATACCCCTTGTCATACTCAACGAAAGTATCTCTCGTCACACTGTACGTTAGTATCTCTCTACACGCTGAACAACAGCGCCCCTCGTCACGTTGACAACAGCACCCTTGTCAGACTAATCGACAGTATCTCTCGTCACGCTTAACGACAGCATCCCTAGTAACATGCTGTGATAATATCTCTCGTCAATTCAAAGACAGTATCTCTCGTCACACTTAACGACAGCATCCCTAGTAGCATGTTGTGATAATATCTCTCGTCAATTCAACGACAGTATCTCTCGTCACGCTTAACGACAGCATCTATAGTAACATGCTGTGATAATATCTCTCGTCAATTCAAAGACAGTATCTCTCGTCACGCTTAAGGACAGCATCTATAGTAACATGCTGTGATAATATCTCTCGTCAATTCAACGACAGTATCTCTTGTCACGCTTAACGACAGCATCTATAGTAACATGCTGTGATAATATCTCTCGTCAATTCAACGACAGTATCTCTTGTCACGCTTAAGGACAGCATCTATAGTAACATGCTGTGATAATATCTCTCGTCAATTCAAAGACAGTATCTCTCGTCACGCTTAAGGACAGCATCTATAGTAACATGCTGTGATAATATCTCTCGTCAATTCAACGACAATATCTCTCGTCACACTCAACGACAGTATCTCTTGTCACATTCAACGATAGTATCTCTAGTCACACTCAAAGACAGTGTGCGCTATAGGAATATCTTTGACTGGTCAATTTTTTTTTCTAGAGCATAGACTGTGATACAATGTGCTATAGGAAAGCATTAGTTTTATAGGCTGTGCCCACGACCAGCTCCAGCTGACAGGCCGTGCTGCTGACGTCACCGGGTCGGGCTAACGGTGCGTTAACGCAGCGGTTCTCAAACAAGAATAAACTATTTTCGACAGTGGCGAGGCATGACAACTTAGATTTTTAACTTTTACGAATCTGCATGCCTTCTTTAATAATTTAACAATTTTTAGCCGACTTTTCTTGATTCGACTTTTTTAGATTTTTGTTGCGGCACCCCTAACATACGCTCACGGCACCCAGGGTACCTCGGCACCCAGTTTGAGAACAGCTGCGTTAACGCATTGTTAGCCCGACCCGATGACGTCAGCACCCCTACCCGGCAGCTGGAGCCAGTCGTGCTATGACTGTGGCGACTGTGACTAGCAAGGCTTGATTGCTGTGAGATGAATCTTCCGCGGTACGCTGCGTGAGATTTCAAAACTAGCATTGCCATCGCGTTTATCTAAAATATTCTTTCTCTGACATTAGGCTTTCAACTTGTTTGCAATGCTTTTCTTCTTTGACCATATTCTATTTGTAATTTTCACACTCCATAGATTGTATTTTATGTAATCATATTAACAAAAATCAACCTCAGTATACGTATCATTCATGTCCCGTTTGCATACGTCTTTATATCGTAGTAAAGACCCACCGCTACATCTACACATCGCTAATTCGCCCTATAAGATGTCTTTGATGACTTTGCTATTCTCCATTCCCTGAGTGATCGTATCTTTTTCACTATTCATATTATCTTTAATTCCTTTACAGAATCTCGCCGGTGTTACGTTCCTCAGACAGTTTACTTTCAAAGCAAACAAAAACTAATAGTATAAAACTTTGTATGGTCCCTTCCAAAAGTCTTGCCTTCAAATTTGATCAAATATCTCGAAGGCTTTTGTACGGATCAGCACGGACTGCTTCATGTGGTATTTGATTTCCCGTCCTTATGATTTGATAATCTACAGCTGCACATGTGCTACTGTTTTCTTAAAGTGGCAAATTTCTTTCATCTTTTTTGGACTATTAACTTGTCTACTTCTAAACGGTGATAAAGAAAATAGAATACAAAGTAAAAGGACCCTTTTCCACGCCTTTAGGCGTATAGGGAATATAGGGCTAGACCTATATTTTCTATAGACCAATCGGCACAAGATGGGTGATGTGGTTAGCATCACGCCGGTCGCCTATACTTCCCGGGACTGCACTCGGTACCCACTCAAGGCTGGGTCGACCTGGAAGTCAAGGTCATTCTTGAAAAAAAGTCCGGCTCCGCCAGGAAGCAAACCCACGACCTTCCGATCCGCAGCGAGCGTCTAGCCGCTCCGCCACAGGGACTCCCCAGAATACAAAGTAGTTGACACAAATCGTTTACTTCAAACTACAAACACGGAGATTTTTAAAAAAAAATATTTCACATGTGCAGCAGCGATTCGTGATGATTATTTTGACAGCCTATCCCGCATACAATAAAATATTGTGTTCATGCAATTCGCGGGAGGCTAATGCTTGAGAATGAGCACCTGTGAATGAAGCGCCGTCTGTCGCGTGGATTACTTCTGAAATTTGTGCACTTTAACGTTCTGCGCCGTCTGTGGCAATGATTACTTCTGAAACATTTGCACTTTAACGTTCTGAAAAGTTTATGTCAATCTATTATTCTAAATAGGCTAACTGTTCTTACGTATAACGCAAAAAAAGATAAAACAAAAACTAGATGTTTCTTTCCATCATTTTTATGTTTCTACAATATTAGCAGGTTGCATTCCAACTTTCAATAAACAAACAAAAGCAAGATATAGATTATAGATTTTTAAAGCTAGGCACACTTTTTGAAACTGATTTTACTACTGACGACAATGTTTGTCAGCGGAAGACTTTTGAAACTGAAGAAATAACAGGCTTGTCCCGGGCAGTCGCCACACAGTGTTCAGCCAATTCATTCGTTGTTTCACAGTTAATCAGTAAACATGATATCCGGCTGCAATGGGAATAAGAAAGGTCATCGGTTGTGCGAAAAACCATTTAATGAATGATCCCTAACCTACTTAAATTTCAAGGTTATAAATTAGCCTAATTAATGCTAATTTAGGGACGACTTCCACATCTCCTCAGCTTGCATAATTTAAGGGCGACCTTCGAATAAACTCTGATCTGTGGGGTAATTCAGTCTAGGCTTTTTAAATTAAAGGAAACACCTTTGGGACATGCGTAGTTCGTTGTGTTTAGTGTTAAGAGATTGTTTGTTTAGTGTAAATATCTTATTTTGTTGTTGTTGTTGTTGTTGTTGTTGTTGTTCGTCTTCTACTACTTCTACTGTTACTACTGCTATTGCTACTAATACTGCTAATACTGCTACTGTTACCACCACTACTACTGCTACTGCTAGTACTACTGGTACTACTACTACTACTACTACTACTACTACTACTACTACTACTACTACTACTACTACTACTACTGCTGCTGCTACTGCTGCTACGTCTACTTCCACTACGACTAGAACTACTGCTGCTACCACTACTGATACTACTACTGCTGCTGCTACTACTATTACTGCTACTACTATTGCTGCTGCTGCTACTACTTCTTCCACTTCTACTACTACTACTACTGCTACTGCTCCTACGTCTACTACCACTACGACTACTACTACTGCTGCTACCACTACTGATACTACTACTGCTGCTGCCACTACTACTATTGCTACTATTACTGCTGCTGCTGCTACTACTTCTGCTGCTAGTACTACTGCTGCTGCTGCTACTACTGCTACTGCTACGACTAGTACTACTGCTCATTCTTCTCTTTCTCTGTCTCCTCCTTTCACTTCCCCTGTTTCTACTAATTTCACTTCCCCGTATTTTTTCTGTGCCTTACTCTCCTCCTCCTTCTTCAGGTCTGTACATCGAAGTAGTCGGAAAAATTACCCAAGTGAAAAGCTATGAAAACAGGAAAAATACACAATAATTATGAAATGATTGCTATGGTAAACTGTACCAAGCGCGCGTTGCCACGCCTCTAATAGAAATTCAATTGAAAGGAAAGTCGATATAACAATATGTAGTATTTATATTGGATTATTGTGCTGTTTACAAATACTTAGGAAAAAACAGGTAATTTAAAATGTAATTGTTCTTAGTTTTTCCGCCTGGTGCGTACACGAATAAATCAGTAGGTTTTTCGATGCTTGAACAGGCCACATATGGCTGTCCATGTGAAAAGCATGGATGTTCCAAATGTAGTCCACACAATTGTTCTGATTGTCCTTGTGATTTGTTGATGGTCATTGCTAAGGTGAGTCGCACCAGAAACTGCAAGCATCTGAAGTTGAATGGCATGTTTGTTGGAATTGCGTTGCAATAGTATATCCTGGCCCTTAAATTTTCATGTAAAATTGTACTTACAA